GCCAATCAACTTGCTTTATTGTATGTGAATGAGATTGTTAGACTTCATGGAGTGTCGATGTCCATTGTGTCAGACCGAGATCCGAAGTTTGTTTCCAAATTTTGGCAGAGTCTACAAAGAGCTTTCGAAGCCGAGTTGAGGTTTAGCACAGCTTTTCATCCCCAAACTGATGGGCAAATAGAGAGGACAATTCAGACACTTGAAGATATGCTTACACTATGTGTATTGGACTTCCAAGGAAGTTGGGGCGTACATTTTCCATTGGTGGAATTTACCTACAACAACAGTTATCAAGCTAGCATTGGCATGGCACTGTATGAAGCATTGTATGGAAGGAAGTGCAGGTCGCCGATATGCTGGACCGAGGTAGGAGACAAAGCTCTACTTGGTCACGAGTTAATTCAAGTGACAACCGAGAAGATTAAGCTCATTCAGCAAAGAATCAATACAGCTCAGAGTCGACAGAAGAGTTATGCCGACCAAAGAAGAAATGAGTTAGAATTTGAAGTAGGGGATCATGTATTTCTAAAGATTTCGCCGATGAAAGGAGTTACAAGATTTGGGAAGAAGGGTAAGTTAGCACCCCATTACATCAAACCTTTTGAAGTTCTTGAGAAGGTTAACCTTGCTGCCTACAGATTTGCTTTGCTGCCAGAGTTGAGCCAAGTCCATAATGTGTTTCATATCTCGATGTTAGAAAGTATATTTGGGATCCACTTCATGTGATCAACTATTTTGGGATTGTAGTTAATGAGGATTTAGGCTATGAAGAGAAGCCGATACGGATTATCGATAGGCAGGTGAAACAGTTGAGAAGTAAGTCGATACCAATGGTGAAAGTTGACTGGAGGAGCATTACGGTAAAGATGCTACTTGGGAAATGGAAGAGGAAATGAAAGTCCGACATCCAGAATTGTTTCTGGAACAAGGTAACTCAAGTTTGGGGACCAAACTTCTTTAAGGGGGGTAGGATGTAACAACCCTCACCCCAACTTAGTCATACTTGCATACATTTATGTATGATCTTGTCTTGTCATGTTGCATTTGCAAATCTTGCCTTGCTTTGCTTGAGTGTTACTCGCATACTTTGTTCTTGCCTGGTGTGTTGCCGAGGTCATCCTTAGCCAAGTCACCTTTGAACCCCTTTTACACTTAGCAGTACCTTGGAACCACTTTGGTTGACCTCCATCTTCGCCCTGGTATATTGGCCGAGATGTCACTATCTAGGCCGAGGTGTGCAGCACCAAGGCCGAGATGTGTATTATCTAGGCCGAGATGTTGTCCTTGAACCTAAGTGATTTTGTTCTTGGATTGGTATGACCTAGACCGAGGTGTGGCACATCTAGGCCAAGGTGTGGCACAACTTAGTCAAGTGTTGTCCTTCCAAGCCAATGTCACTATTGCTCTACTTGCCGAAGCTTTGTCCTTAGCCGAGATCATCACTTGTCGGAGTGCTCTTACCGTCTAAGCTTGTTGAACACACTTTGTCATAGTCTTGTCTTGTCAAGTCAGTCATCTTTTGGTGAAGAGCCAATCAGCCGATGCCACGTGTCCCGGCAGAGGGTTAAGTCAGTGACTGTTGAGAAAACATATCATTTTGTATCACATCTTGTCTTTTAGAGAGAGAAGCTTTAGGGAGAAGAGGAAGAAGTTTTGAGTGAGAGAGTAGACTTCCAAGCTTGATCGTTGGAGTTTGAACCGTTAGATTCGAGTGTTGAGGTTAGAATCTTAATCTACTCTTGTTGTTCTTATTGATCATCTAGTTGCATTGCACGATCGAATCTGTTCTGCATGCCATGCATTGATTTAAAGTTGGTTTTAGAAAGAGAAGTTAGTGTTCATGTGTTCTTGAAGAAAAGTCTTGTTTTGATCCGAAAGTTTGTATCAAGAACCATGTTTTTGTGTTTGTTTTCTTAAGATCTTCAAGTATGGGCGCCCAGGTCCATGTTTTCGAACTCATAGCATGAAATCTCATATTTTTGTAATAACAAGCCATGATTTAAGCATGCATGTTCTTCATCTTCTTCATCTTTCTGTTCGTCATGTTCTTCAAAGGGAAACCCAGATTTTCCCGACTTCGCTTTTGAATGTGGCCGTTGGGACCACACCTCGGCGAGAAGGTGTGGGACCTCGGCCAAGACCTGGTTGGTGCCCAGCATGTTTTCTCGTGATGAGAAACAGTGTTTGTTGTGGTTCGACTTAGTTTTGAAGAATACCGGGATCATTGCATTCATGTAAAGCTTGTTTTGAGAATACATTTCATATCTATCTTTGAGCATCTCTTCTTGTCTACTTGAAGTTCCTTCAGTAGTATTTGCCATGTGATTGTAGGTCTTTGATCTTTGCCTTGAGCCTACACCCGAAGAACTATGTGAGTGGTATTTTTAATAAAGCTATGTTATAATGTTTTGATAAGCTTTGCTTTGCCTTGTTTTGAAAAGTGTTTGATCAATCATGAATGATTATCCCTGTCTTGTGTATCAAGTATTAGGGTTTTTTTGGATGACATTCTTGGAAAGTCCCTTGTGCTGGAGGACTCTAAACTTTCGCAGTACAAGTCCTTTTCGTGTTAGAGGACTTTAAGCCTTTCTAACATAAGTCCTTTTGTGCTAGAGGGCTCTAAACTTTTGTAGCACTCTTGTTCGAGATATCTCCCTTGCCACCGACGACCTTGTGCGGGTGGGTCTGACTAATCGATTCCGGGTCGATTATTCCCTTGTTTTGCCACTGACAGTTTACCGCGTGGGTTTGTTTGTCTGGGATGTCATCATTTTGTAATATGTTGATGCTAGTAAGCATCCTTTGGAGCTTCGAAGATTTGTTAGGTGAACGTGGTTCATCCCTTGATTTGTAAAGTTTGATATGTTTTGTTTTGAAAGACTTCGGCTATTATTCATGCAAACCTTTATTACTTGTACCATTCACTGAGTATCCAAGCTCACCCTCTCTATATATATGTAGGTGATGAGCAGGACGGGGACGACGCCTAGATGTGTTTTACAAGCATGTTTTGGATTCATGTTATGTCGGCTTGACTAGTTTTATGTCGGCAATCTTGAAGATTATGCTTCTCGACTTGTAATACTTGTATTTTGCATACGTCGGCTTGAGAAGCCTTTTGATCAAGATGTAACGTGTATTTTGTTTATTAATCAACCGATTGTAAAACCATATTTTGTATGTCATTTCATTTGTTCTAAGCACAGCTCTTATGGACCACTTGGATTTTAATTTATTGCTTCCGCATTTGTAAGCCCCATATTTATATCCTGTTTGTGTGTGTGAATCTTTGAAAGAGGCCTTTGGTAATCTCGGATTACTGGCCATCACGGCACCATCCTACTAGGGGCGGTTTGGGGTCGTGACATTAGGATTGGTATTCATTATTTAAAATTGAAACATAATCACAAATCAATATCTTGGGAATTTTAGATTTTTCAACCGTAATATAAAAGTTATGAATGTATGTAATAAAAATATTACAAACAACATAATACCGCTTTTTAAAGATGTGTTTTGTAGCTCCCACTTTGAAACATTTGTACTTAAGCTTTAATTTATACGGGGATAAACTCTCTTTCGTATTTCATCTCTTCATGCTCGTTCATACTTTTCTTTTGGATCTCCTTTGCAACACCATTTTCCTTCGAAAATCCCTCATCCCCATAGCATCATCACCACTCTACTAGACTCCAATCTCCTCCAACACAACCTTGAAATCTGAAAATCTAGAGTTTTGGATCTCTTCAACTACTCCACCAATCTCCAATCTCTAACACCAAAACCCCCACATTCACCGAAACCCCCATATGTCTGAGTTAGAGAGAGATGAAGAGAGAGATGAAAAGCACTATAAGAGGAGAGCCTTATAAAATAGAGAGGATCAGATAGAGATGAAAAGTCTGTGAGAGAAAGATCGATGGAGAGAGACAAAAAAGAAGAAGGGTAAATTACACTTTGTCCCCATTATGTTTGGTCACTTCCTCACTTTGATGCTTAAAATTTATTTTTTCCTACTTTGACCTTTCATGTTTCAACTTTTTTTTTCCCAATTTATTCCTAAAGCTAATTTTTATTCAAGATTAGACAGAAAATGACACGATAAATGTCACATAATATAAAAATATATTATTTTATTAGGATTTGAGTTTATGTTAGAGGTGTAAATTATATATAATAATATTTTTATACTATGTGACTATCAATGTATCATTTTATATTTAGTTTTGAATAGAAGTTAGTTTTAAGTGTAAATTGGAAAAAATTTTAAATATGAAGGACTAAAGTGAGAAAAAACAAGCTTTAAAGACTACAGTGAAAAAATGACCAAACATAAAAAGACCAAAATGCAATTTGTCCAAAAAATAAATTATAAGATAAATAGATACAGCAAGAGAGCCTTGTTATACTCGTCTCGTTTTAAATAATCTTACAACGACTATGTTTACTTTGAATATATTATATATCTATCTTTTATATATATATATATGAAAGAATTTTTATTTTTCCCCTCAAATTATACTTCTCTGATAAATTTTACACTTAAACTTTTGATATTGTCAATTTATCCCCTCACCTATTTAAATCATGATCAATTTGCCCCCCTCCCCACTACAACAAATTTGAGTTTTAAAGACAAATTTTTTGGGACAAAAATAATATGTCTGCAAGAATCATGTTTTAAGGACAAAATGAAGGAATTTTAAAAAATACACATTTAATCATGTTATTACCTTTTTGAAACAAGTCTATTTGGTTGCAAAAAGCGTCGTACACTTTCCTCTACAATTTTAATCGGTCCCCAATAAACCCAAATCATACATTATTTTATTTTATATATTCATTCTTTGAACTAAACAGTTGGGACACATGAAAAGAATGTCCTTGCTCTCTCTCTCTCTCTCTATCTCAAATCTGTAATCTGAAATAGCCTAATTTCTCTCTCTCTCTCTCTCTCTCTCTCTCTCTCTCTCTCTCTCTCACACACACACACACTCACGAATGCACTGCATTTCTTTCTATCTCGCAAATCGGTGGTTTGTTGATTGCTTCTGAGATTCAATCCCTAATCTCGACGACAATTTCATCTCCGAGGAGTATCATAACATCTCTCTCGATAGCGATTTCAGTATCCAGGTTTGATCTCCGAGGAGTATCATAACATCTCTCTCGATAGCGATTTCAGTATCCAGGTTTGATCGATTAATTGATTTCAGTCTCATATATTTAGTTTTTGATCTGTTGTTCGCATTTGTTATTTGAAAATGCTTATTTATGTGTTTAATGTTTGTGTTGATTATATATTATCATAATATGATTCTTTTTTAATACGTATTTGTGAGTGTTAGATTTGGTGATTGTGGATATGATAGTCGATTACTCATTTGAGCTAAAATGTGAACGAAATCAATGATGCTGTGGTTTTGTATTGGAGTTTTTGCTTTGTAATTTTGGTAATTTGGATTTGGTAGTTGTGCAATTGAGTTTGTTTCTGTCACTATGAAATTTGCTCACTAGAGCTTTATGAATTTGAATCTTTGCCACTGTTTTTCTCTTTACTGTTAAGCAATTTTCTTTCTCCATTACTGAGAATTCAAGTATCTTCAACTCTTTCTATCTCCCTGCAATATTTGTAATTTATGAGTTGGATGGCTATTTAACACAAAATTGTTTGGGTGAACTTTTACTAGTGTCAAGTTGACAACATAGCAATTCAAATTCTAGAAGATCCTAAATTGTCACGTAGCTAGTTATTGGTATTTTTTAATTTAAAATCATGAAGTCATCCTTGTTTCAATCTCATAGCCAATAAGAAAATAAAGATGTGTTCAGCCTTGATTTTTTGTTTAATAGATGGACAAATAGATCGTGTTCAATCTGCTTCAATTATTTCAATGTCACCTTTGCAAATTGTTTTAATATGAACTTTTGCTACCTTTTTCCCCTCTTTCTTCTTTAGTTGTTTTGCACCATGGATACGAGTTGGATGCAACTTTATAATAGAAGGTCACCTCAGTACATTGATGGGGTGAGGGAATTTATCATGTTTGCTCATGATCATATGAAACTAGGGGCAAATAAGATTTGGTGTCCATGTTATAGATGCAACAACCATATTCAAAAGACCATAGAGGAAGTTGAAATTCATTTGTATGCATATGGGGTGGTCACGAGTTACACTACGTGGGTGTATCATGGGGAAGGGTTTCAGTTGAATGACAATGATGACTCACAAAATGAAATTGAAGAATATCTCGATGATGTGACATAGAAGTCAAATAACCCCAATACTAAGGTGCGCGAAGTTATTCATGAAATACGAAGTGGAACAATCACATTTGGTTATGTGGGAGAAGCATCTAGTAGTCGTAATCGTGACTTACCGAGTAGTTGTGGTAGAGAAACAAATAAATTTGCAAGATTAATGAGGGATACAGAGCAAGATTTGTATCTGGATTGCCAACGATTCTCCAAGCTATCATTCATGGTTAAGTTGCTACATTTAAAGATATTTAATAGATGGAGAAACAAATCACTCATGATGTTGCTGGAATTGTTGAATGAGGCACTTCCGATTAGTGAAACGCTTCCATGCTCTTATAATGAGGCTAAACAAATAATTTGAGATTTGGGCCTCGATTATCAAAAAATAAATGTAGCAAGAACGATTACGTACTTTTTTGAAAGGAGTGTAAAAATGAAGATAAGTGTCTTGCTTGCAATGCGCCAAGATACAAAGTTCGTATAGATAAAGGTATAGGTAAAAAGATCCCTCACAAGGTTCTGCGATACTTTCCTTTAAAACCAAGGCTACAAAAGCTATTTGTATCAAGGAAGATGGCTACTGATGTGAAGTGGCACAAGGATACACGTGTAGAGGAGGAAAATATATTGCATCATCTGGCTGACTCTGAAGCGTGGAAAGACTTTGACAAAAAAACGTGAGTCATTCACTAAAGATCCTGGAAACGTTAGGCTTGGACTAGCTAGAAACGGTTTTAACCCGTTTGGAAACATGAGTAACTTATATAGCATATGGCCAGTTTTTCTTGTCCCATACAATTTACCACCATGGAAATATATGAAGGATCCATTTTTTATGATGCCTTTGCTTATTCCTGGGCATAGGGCTCTCGAATTTGACATTGATGTATTTTTACAGCCATTGATAGATGAGTTAAAGGAGTTATGGGAGGTAAGGGTAGAGACATATGATGCATCAAATGGTCAGAATTTTCCATTGCATGGCGCATTGTTATGAACCATCAATGATTTCCCTGCGTATGGTAACCTATTCGGTTGGAGTACTAAAGAGAAATTAGCTTGTCCTTCATGTAATGAGGATGCATCTTACCAATACTTGCACCATTGGATGAAAACTTGTTACATGGGACATTGTTATTTTTTTTTTTTTTTTGCATAATCATGTTTTACGAAAAAGCAAGGCATTCAATGGTGAGCCAGAGCTTAGGTCGAAACCCAAGTTGTTGTTTGGGGAGGAGGTTTTGGGACAATTGGAGCATATTGCCTCGACAGTATTTGGAAAGATAGATGAATGTTGGAAGAAGCGAAAACGTTCTCCTCAATATTTAAATTGGATAAGGAGAAGCATCTTCTTTAAGTTACCTTATTGGAAAACCCTTAAAGTTCACCACCACCTTGTTGTTATGCACATTGAAAAGAATGTATGCGATAGTGTGATGGGAACATTAATGAATGTTGATGGAAAAACCAAGTACACATACAAGGCTCGTCTTGATCTAATGGCTATAGGTATAAGGCCTGAATTACACCCAAGGCAAGTACATGGAAAAACTTTCCTACCCACTTCTTGATTTATGCTCTTTCCAACCGAAAAGACTTCTTGTGAATTCTTGAGTACAGTTAAGTTGCCAAATGGCTATGCATCAAACATATCACATTGTGTGAGCACTAGTGATTGTCGAATTACAGGGTTGAAAAGCCATGATTGCCATGTTATCTTGCAAAGATTGCTTCCTGCTGCCCTACGTAGATGTTTGAAAAATGATGTGAGCAAGGCTTTAATTGAGCTTTGCTTGTTTTTTATGTAGTTATCGGTGAAAACATTAAGAGTTGATGTCTTACAACAACTTGAGAAAGATATCGTTTTAATTTTGTGCAAGCTCGAGAAAATATTTCCACCATCTTTTTTCGATATTGTGATCTAGTTATGCGTACACTTATCACGTGAAGCAATCCTTACAGGACCAGTGCAATACTGGTAGATGTATGCATTTGAGAGGTACATACATATTCTTAAGGGCTTTGTGCATGACAAAGCTTGTCCAAAAGACTCTATTGCTGAAGGTTACATTGATAATGAGCCTCTTAGTTTTTGCTCTATATACTTCAACGAAGGTGAGACAAGATTTAATAGACCAAAATGGAATTATGATGGGCCTATTGAGGCTACACAAAATGGAAATATTTTTGTATTTAAGCAAAAAGTATGTGGACTAGGAGCTGTAGTTAATGATGTGTAGAATGTAAAAGATTTGAAGAAAGCTTGATGGTGTGTGTTGAATAGTTGTGATGAAGTTTAACCGTATGTGAGGTAAGTAAACCACCATATGATTATATTTTCTTTTTGAATTCTACTACTTTAACAACTATGTGTCAAATAATGTTGTGTAATAATTTATAGGCAGCACATGGATGATCTTGAGAGCCAAGGTTTGAAGAATGTGCAAGAGAGGCTAGAATCAAAGTTCCACGCATAGTTTCTAAAATACATAAGAGCTATAAATTTTTAACCTTATTTGTGCATTTAAATAATGTAGTTAAGTATATGCTAATACATTTCACATCATAAATGAAATTAGGTCACAAAGCAACAACTTGAAGGGACCATGGACACTTCCAATCAACTTATGAACCTAGCTCAAGGTCTTAATAGTCGAGTGACCCACTACAGTGGTTGCATTATCCATGGGACCAGATTTCACACTCAAGATCGTGAAATGAACCGAAAAACTCAAAATAGTAGTGTGGTTGTTAAGGGTGACCATAAAGGAGAAACTATTGATTTTTATGGAGTTATTAGATATATGGTTGAGTTGAAATACCTAGGGAGAAATCGGGTGTTCCTCTTTCAATGTGATTCGTGGGATGTTGGCAATGAAAAAAATGGAATAAAATTTGATGATTATAACTATATTAGTGTGAATGTTACAAGAACTTGGTACAGGGATGAACCGTTTGTGCTAGCATGCCAAGTTGAACAAGTATTTTATATAAAGTCACCTCACAAGTTTCACACTCGGATACTTCTAGCATACATTGCAACACTGTTGGTTTGTAAATATTTTAATTTTATGTTTTGTTTTGGTTGGTGGTCTCTTCTTTTCAATCCATATATTAACATGATACTTTTTCATTGTTTCTAGTAGGCACATCCAAGGGTAAGAGAAGACGTGGGAAGTCAAGAAGCCTTAAATTGGCCAAGCTAAAAAATCAAGAGGTGCGACTGCCTATTTAGATTTGTAAGGTTAGTGAACGACCATATGGTGAAGCATCTGAAAAATTTACCAGTGAATTAAGGATTGTCACTAGGCAATTTGCCCCACAAAATGTGCCCTTGTGGACCGATATTAGTGAAAAGGATAAAGAGACATTGATTACATGCCTTTAGGTAAGAGGTACATTATGTTGGAAGTTTGAACCAATATCTTTGAACCCATATCTGAATGATGATGTTCTAGACTTGGTTTCTTGGAATGAAGATAATGACAGTCCTTGTAATTTTTTTCTTGTTTGGTATGACAGGAATGTTTTAAGTTTACCAATGAACCCTATGCTATTGAATCTATCCTCAAATTGATGCATGACCGGTATAAGAACTATCGCCATGACCTACAACAATGCTTTAGAAGTTTCCCCACAATGGAATCTGCCCTTGCGGATCTACCTGAAAATATGGAAAAATAAGTGTAGAGGTTCTTGTGCGAAAAGTGGTCTGGCAAGGAATGTAAGGTATTTTTGTAATCTTGTGCTCATTTTCTGTCAATCTGTTTAGAAAATCAGTGTATTTTTAGCATTGTCTTATTTTATATTAAATATGATGTATTCCTTATGTTGGTTAAATATTTGGCACTTGCATATATTCTTTATGTTGATTATTGGTTTGCTGATTTTCAAACCTCAACTTATGTCGGGAACATGGTATTTCGTAAGGCAGTTATAACTGTTTCACTTGGTGATTCATTTTTACAAACAGCTTGGTGGAGAAATTAGTGATATTGTTGAACTTCATGACACTCTATCACTATAATTTTAAGCTGTAATTTGAGTCAAAACAGAAGTGTATCCAAAAAATATCTATTGACGGCAACTAACATTACTTTTCTTGCAAAAATTCATGTAGATGAGAAATGTTTAATAATAAAAGAAACACTTTGTACTCTAACTTATGCATTTAAAAATGGGTGAGATGTGACAAGAACAAGTTGAATCAGGAGAAGTTGAATTAGGAGAAGTTGAAAGTCCTCCACACTGCTGGCTCAAAGGCCTTTAGAAAAGTGCAATATGATGAGGTATTAATTATAAAATCTATAATTTATGTTTTGCAATTGTGATTGAACAACGTAATCTATATTGATGTTTAAAGTGTGCTATAAATGGCACAGGGAGACCATGCCACTAGAGAGGAACTTGGACTTATTGCGTTGTACAAAAAGACACATTTTAGTGAGAAAAAAGAGGCATGGGTGCATGCTAATGTTGAGGTTAGACATGTAAGACATTAGCCTTTATGTACTTTCATTCCTTATATCCTTAATAAAATGTGGTTGGATACTTAGTTTTATGTCAACTAATGAATATTGTAGTATAAGATTGAAAAACAGCAGGACAAAGCTATTGAACATGGATCTGGGGCACCTTATTCTGAACACTTGATGATGAAATGTTACACTGTGCAATCGTTCAATTTCTTAAGCAAAAGGCTTTGGTTTCAAGCTGTAAGACCTAAACCTTGCACCCCCTTTGAACCAAAACCTTATTTTTTCTAGCCTAACCACTTAGAGAAGAGCTGGCCAACAAGTGGCCGGCAAGCCATTTTCATATGGCCGACTATACCTCTTCATGGCCTCCTGGGTATGTTCAGCGTAGCAGATATTTTGACAGTAGCCAATTGTCCCCATGTGCATGTCTTGCACCAGCGGTCTCTTTACAAATATTTTTGACATGAGAACCTATTTTTCTATAAATACAAGGCCTCCCATCATGGTTTGGGGTTAGAAAATTTTGCCGAGAGCCAAACTTGCCCAACACACTTCCCTCCTCTCTTGCAATATACATACACTATACATACACCTTCTAAGCTTAAACTTGAGGTTTTTGCTGAGATTCTTGAACACAATTTCAACTCCTTGAAAATGTCTAGCTTGTGGTTTGTTAACTAGGAAGCTCTTCCTCTCTTTCAAGGGGTAATCTTTGAACTCTTTCACTTTTTTTCTCTCTCTTTTTCTTGCATTTTTCTACTGATTTCAGTACTATTTTAAACTTAATTATGTGATTTAAAGTCACAAAAAGTGGAGGGGTTAGCCACCCTTCCTTAGGCCTTTTTCTATAGCGTGTTGCTTTGCCTTTTTTCTACTTTGTTTCTTTTGGTTTTGGCTACTATTTTTTGGAGTCTAGGGATTGTTTTAAGTGTTTATTTAATTTATTCTTTGAATATTATACTTGTGTTGTTGTAAGTCCTCATGGATTTGGTGTATAGGCCATAGCTTCAAATCCATTTGAGTTAATAGTCTTTTCTTTCATCTTTTATAGCTTTCATGTACATATTCATGTCTTTGTAAGTTTTCACAAATCATGTAAGTGATTTAAGAAAAATGTGTAAGTGAACACAAATTCAAGTAAGTTAATGTCCAAAATTTGACAAATACAAAATGCGTAAGTGATTTCACAAAAATGCGTAATGGAACATAAATCTGCATAAGTTAATTTCCAAAATTAGACCAACACTAAATGCATAAGTTTTCACAAATCACGTAAGTGATTTCACAAAAATGCGTAAGTGAACACAAATCAGCGTAAGTTAGTTTCCAAAAATTTAAAACAATACAAAATGCGTAAATTTTCACAAATCACATAAGTGATTTCACAAAAATGCGTAAGTGAACACAAATTCATGTAAGTTCCAAAAATTTAGACCAACACAAAATATGTAAGTTTTCACAAATCACGTAAATAATTTCACAAAAATGCGTAAATGAACACGAATATGCGTAAATTAGTTTCTAAAAATTTAGACTAATACAAAATGCATAAATTTTCACAAATTACGTAAGTGATTTCACGAAAATGCGTAAGTGAACACAAATTCACGTAAGTTAATTTTCAAAAATTTAGAGCAACACAAAATGCGTAAGTTTTCACAAATAACGTAATTGATTTCATAAAAATGCGCAAGTGACCACAAATATGCATAAGTTAGTTTCGAAAAATTTAGACCAACACAAATTGTGTCAGTTTTCACAAATCACGTAAGTGATTTCACAAAAATGCGTAAGCGAACACAAATCCGTATAAGTCAGTTTCAAAATTTTAGATCAACACAAAATGCGTAAGTTTTCACAAATCACATAAGTGATTTTCACAAAAATACGCAAGTGAACACAAATCAGCGTAAGTTAGTTCCAAAAATTTAGACTAACACAAAATACGTAAGTTCACACAAATTATGTAAGTGATTTCACAAAATGCGTGAGTGAATACAAATCCGTGTAAGTTAATTTTCAAAAATTTAGAGCAACACAAAATGCGTGATTTTTACAAATCATGGAAGTGATTTCACAAAAATGCGTAAATGAACACAAATATGTGTAAGTTAGTTTCAAAAAATTTAGACCAACACAAACTATGTAAGTTTTCACAAATTACATAAGTGATTTCACAAAAATATGTAAGTGAATATAGATCTGCGTAAGTTAGTTTTTAAAAAATTAGCACAACACAAAATGCGTAAATTTTCACAAATTATGTTAGTGATTTTATAAAAAAATGCATAAGTGAACACAAATCCGCGTAAGTTAGTTTTCAAAATTTTAGACCAACACAAAATAAGTTTTCACAAATCACATAAGTGATTTCACAAAAATGCGTAAGTTAACATAAGTACGAGTAAGTCCTTAGAGAACACTTTTATTTCACAAATACGAATAAGTCCTTTGAGAACAATTTTATTTCACAAAATTACATAAGTTTTTACAAAGTCACGTAATTTGTATCACTAAACTCAGGGTAGTTAACACAAAATGACGCATAAGTTTGTTTTTAAAAATTTTCAACAACACAAAAATGCGTAAGTTTTCACAATTGAAGTAAGTGATTTCCTAAAAAAAGTGTTAATGATCACAAATACGAATAAGTCCTTGGAGAACACTTTTGTTTCAAAGAATTGTGTAAATCTTCACAAAATTGCATAAATCTTCACAACTTATGTAAGTGATTTTTTAAAAAATACGAAAGTGATCACAAATACGTAGAACACTTTTATTTCGCAAAATTGCGTAAGTTTTCAAAAAATCATGTAAGTTGGGTCATAAAACTCAGTGTAGTTAGGACAAAATGACGTGTAAGTTTGTTCCTAAAAAATTTCAACAACACAAAATACGTAAGTTTTCACAATTGATGTAACTGATTATACTTTAGAAAATTGAGTCTCTTTATTTATTTTATTTTTTTTCAGTAGTAGCTATTGTTTGTTTAATGAATAATTTACTCTCTAAGATAATGGATAAAGGAAAATAGCAAGTGGATTTTTTCCTGGTTTTAGAACATTGGGAGGCATGATAGTGTAGACACCCTATTTTTGGCTACCTGCAAGGCTCGAGCGCTTTGCCCGCTACACTCGATGATGAAAGTGGTGTTGTGCATGGTTCAAGGTCTCATCGAAGGGGCTATGATTAAGCTCCGAAACAATCCCAAACCTTCCATATTCCCACTATTTATACCCCAGAAATCCATTTTACACATTGTGCCACCTTGTGCTGAGTCTGAAGCAAAGAAACAGAGGATCACATTGAGGCTCGGCCATGCCTCATTGGGAGCCGGCCGCGGCTATTGATGGTCGGCCATGGCTTAGTAGCAAGAAACATTGCTCTGGGCAGAGGCCTGCCAGCTATCCATTTTTGAAGATATTTATGACCCCTCTTGCCCAAATTCTATAAAAACGAAGTTGTATCTCTATTTTGAGGGTTGAAGAATTTCTAAAAAGCTTATACACCTTATTGAGAGCTCCTTCTTCTTGTGCAAACAACCTTTGAGCAAGCTTACCACCTTGAACCTATATCCATACACCATATACACCTTCACACCTTAGCTTTGGAACCTTAGTTGAGCTTTGAGCATCACAATTCAAGCTTAAGAGTGTATTTGGACTTAGTTTGATTCACAGCAAAGAGCTTACCTTTCTTGAGAGGTATAAGCTTACTATCTGTTTTCTTGCTCTCTTTTCTATCATTCGCTATCAAGTTCTTGTATTTTTGTATTATTTTGAACTTCTTTTAAGTGTCTAAACTTAGGTTTGGAGAGCTACCAAAGGGTAGAGAGAGTTTAGCACTCTTTCTTACACCTTCACCTATAGCTCAAACCCTTGTTTTTACACCCTTTTCTTTGCTTTCTAAATTGATTTTCAGATCTTTAAAGAGGCTAAAAATCCTGCTTTGAGGTTTCAAAAGTGGAGGGGTTAGCCACCCCTCCTTGTTCTTGCTTACTAGCCTTATTGTCTTTCTTTGTTGTTTAGCTTTTTAGACTCTTTTCATGCACTTTGAGCCACTATTTTTTACCTATTATTGGCTGTTTTAGGGCTATCCTAGGTTGTTTAATTAATTCATGCTTTGATTAGTTTGCTTATTGTTTCACATGTTCACATACATAGCTTGTTACATGTTGTTCTAGCTTTTCTTTAAGTAATTTCCATGTTAAGAATTTTATTTTAACAAGCAATCTATCATCCATTTCTTTCATTTGAGAGTTGTTTCAATTGGTTAATGGTTATTCAAAACATGAACTAGAAATCTATGCTTAATGGCTTAATCTCTACTGAGGTTCATTGTCGCATAGTCTCTTTTTCATGTTGAGAGTCACTTCCCATTTGACATGTTTCTTACTTAGTGGATGTAACCATCATCTTGGACAAATGGGTTAAAGAATGGCAAAGACCAATGAATTTGGCTTAAAATGAACCAACCCACATAAAGAAAATGAGTTATATTGCTTGAACTCGGCCGGACGTTATGCCAAGTCTATTGTGTCAAGAGTCATCACATATCAATTCATGGTGTTTTTGATGACCCTTGAAGCGTCTATACTCCACCATTTTGAGCTCATCCCATGATAAAAGGGAGGGATGGTTATTATTCATTGCATTCATTGAATTTTGTCCAAATTGTAACCGAAATCATCAAGCAAACAAATTGCTCATTGATGATTTTGGAAACGATTCCAACCTTCTCTTGAGGCTTTCCCATGACAGAGAAGTGTGAAAGGGACAAACAGAGTTCAGAATAACTCTGTTTGCACTGTTTTCACTTCAGAGCACAAAACAGGATTTTGCATAAAATTAAAATACGGTCGGCCTTATTTAGGCCCGGCCGGGCTTCATTAGGGGCCGGCCGGCCATCAATGTTTGGTTAGCAGTATGTTTTGCAGAAAACAAAGGGTAGTGGCTGAAGGTGAAACAGAGTAGGCCTAAACAGACAGAGTTGTTCTTGGACACTGTGCATGCAACCCTTGTGCATCCTTGCTTACATCAATGTTGTAAATTAATACTCCGAGTATTGTTGTAATGAATTATTATTGTTGTAGTCAATTAGTCTTGTTGATATCATTGTTGTAATTATCGTTATTGTTTATTTGTAATTGTTATAGCTAGGTTATTTCTCATTATTATCCTTGTAATAGAGTAGCTAACTAGTTAATTCTTTCCTTACTTATTCATTCGGTTTTGTAATAATTAGTTTAATTCGGACTCTCGGGCTTTGATTCGCACCCTCTTGCGTGAGGGCAAGCATGTAATAAGTTGTATGTCTTCCAACCCTACGTCTTTCTCCTTTTTACTTACTTGCTTACGATGGTTAGTATAGAACATCATTTTTCAAATTAGCATTCTTATGATTCGCATCCATTGTCTTGCATGCATCCAAGGTTTGGCTCATCATACTAACTAATTGTTTAGAATTCATTGCTTGAATACGTGCTTTATCGCATGTCTTGAATGAAATCATATACCATGTTCATAGCCGAGCCTATTAAAATTACATAACTTGTATGTGT